AACTTTTTACTTTTTAAAGCGCGGGTATTACAGAAATTTTCTCAAGTCTTTGTGTAAATAAAACTACTTGTATGCTAGACTTGTAAGATAAACACGCTCATAAACATATACAGCTGTAGTATTCTTTTAACAAAACGAGGCCACATTGTGAATACACCCATTTTCCTTCATTTTTCTTCATACACTTATGTCCAGGGTTGAACTCTGTCGCAAAAATTTGCTAGCAAATTGTTTTCGCAATTTTGACAAAAAAGATTTGAAGGAAACTGCTGTCAAAAATATATAGAAGATATAGCAAATATAGCAAGAATAAAAAATTCAACAAGAATTGCAAACCGTAGCAAAAATTTGCTAGCAAATTTTTGTCGTAATTTTGGGGAAAAAAAGATTAGAAACGTATAGAGAAAATAGCAAAAATAGCAAGAATAACAAATTCAACAAGGATTGCAAGCTGTAGCAGAAATTTGTTAGCACATTTTTCTCGCAATTTAGCTATAATTCTTTGAATAGAAATTGCTTGCAGAAATCTAAAGAAGTCTGCAAATATCGCAAGAGTAACAGGACATTTCATTGCAGCAACAAAAAAACACCCTTATAAATATCGCAAGAATAAGAAGATTAATAAAGTAAGCAAACGTTCAGACTTTTAAGGAAAAAGGTAGAGAAGGCCCTATAAAAGTCCGCGATTTTTGCAAAATTTACGAACTTCTAAAGGCCCTTCTTCTCCTTGTTATTCTTGCTATTCTTGCGATATTTGGTACCCAGTCTTTTAGATAACGACGAAATTTCTTGTTACTTTTGTGTTTTTTGCGAAATTAGCGGACTTCTCGAGCCCCTTCTTTGCCTTTTCCCTTTACAGGTCTAGAATTTTGTTCAATTTGTTATACTTGCTATTTTTGCGACTGTGTTCAATCATGGACATATCTGCGTACATGTACAATTCCATTGTACGTGTGTTAAACACTAATTGAAAATCATAGGCAGTCCCATTTAATGAAGTTAAATTCATAGTTGAGATAATATCGTTGTTCAATATATTGGCACACCGCAAGCTTATAGTAGACACACCGTCACTTAATGATAAGGTATTTTGCCACATTTTCAGATAAAATATGCATAATTTTTCGTAAATAAAACTTTTTGAGTGGACTTTAGCTATTATTGTTCCGTTGCTCTATTATTGTATAAATGTTTCGTTCAACAGTCATTGCAGGCAAAGAGATTAACATTACACTGACCATCAAAGATGGAGACTGCTCTGACGAACGGTACCTTAAATCTTCATTGTCAAAGGAACTTTCTGTTACGGTAAAGTTAAAACTGTAGTGTTAATGTGGGTTTGCTAGTAGGATTTAGTCAGGGTAAGAAGTTTTTCCAAGCCTACTACTCTGATCGAATTTTTCTCCGTTACATACTCATGCAATTAAGGCCACTATTCCCAACAGATGCAATACGGAACTTGTTCACTGTGCTATGTATATTACATGGCCGCGCAGAGATGCGAAATTTCTCTTCAAGGTGTGAAAAATGTTAACTACGAGTGAGTGCTGTAAAATGAGAAACACATTGTTTAATGTGGCTCGACTGGATTTTTTTGGGGGGGATACCTCCCAAGGTTGAGCATTAATTACGTCGCCATGAGTAAAGATATGGAAAAAAGGTTTCCACAACTGTATTATATAAAGATGAAAAATTCTTATGATCTGGGTTTTATTGCAATTAGAGTCGCCATGGCAACGTAACGACGCCATTAGGTTTTTTATTTATCTTTGTTTTCTCTGTATCAGGAGTTTTTTTAAAGGGCAACTCTCGGGAAAATTACCCCTGTTTTTTAAGTTCTCTATGGTTTCCTAATGGCATGTAATATCTCTCTTTGATGAAATTTCCGATATATCTGCGAAACTTATTTTTTTTATAATTTTTCGAAAACTCGATTTTTGCCGCCATTTTGAAAACATTCTGATTTCAGATTAGTCACGTGATTTTACGTCACACGTGTGGAACACGGATTGCCAAGTGAAGATTATAAGAGAAAAACGCACCAATTTTCTCTGGCAAATAAAGGAGAAATAGAGCCTCTACTGTCATATTAACGTTCAGGAAAAGCATTTCGATGATGGTTCCATTTTTTAAATTTAGACGGGCATCAGATGCGGGTGATTTAGATTTTTTTTGTATTTTTTTGTTAGGGTAATTTTGAAGTCGCGTGAGACATTTATCGACCCGAGGTCAATAATTGTAAACAGTTACGCTCCTAATCTGCTACGTATGATACAAAGAACATCTTTCCTATGGCAGATTTAAAATTCTGGTACAACCATTAATGTTACCTGATGGGTGTTGATGCCCTTCATTCCTCGAAAACGACTTAATTTATTCCCGCGAAATACTCGCATCTTTGAAGAGAACTCCGTCACGGACTGCCTTACCGGCCTGATTCTATACCGCCTTTTGTGTTTTCACTTAAGTGTGTTGTTCTTGTCTGAAATCTGCAGGTTCTATCCACTTACCTTTGCTCCTAAACACGCGAAATAAAACTCACTTCTCGCCGAAAGTTGCGATTTTATTTTGAATGTAGTTATTCGAGATGTACTGTCGAGATTGTAGCTTCATTCCATTGCAAAACCTGCACACACGCTAAAATTACATGTAGTGTGCCTTTTAAGGATAGAAGGAAATTAAAACGGTTAAAAAAATGATTAAAATAGGATTGCTTCATTATCTTTAGCGGTACTTTGTACCCGTCCTACCTGCGAACACTATAAAACTGCCTTGATAGCACGCGTGTCACGTTTCTTTTGCAATACGTCCCTTTGGGACTTCTCACATTTTGGAAAAAAGAAATTATTAAATCCCCGACGCGGTACTTATGGAAAATTCCAAGGAGAAAAAAGCGATAACGGGAACGAAAAAGAAGAAAGAACTAGACAAGGTTCACTCCTGCAGTATGAACCTTTTTATTGAAGGTTATGGCTCAAGCACCATAACTGAAAGTCTTTGCTGGCTATTAAGCAAATTCAAGGGCTTTAAAAAACGACATGTTGAACCTGCAACTGAATACCCCTGCACTACTTGCTGCATCCATAGAGAGGCCCAACAGAGATGAGGCAATGGGTTCTTTCGTCAGCAGATAAAATCTTTCCAGCCTAGTCAACTAAAAAATGCCCTGCAATGTTTTGATTCTTTGTAGTTTAGGCTAAGCTAGGTCACTACTGCAATTAGTGACTTAGATGACCATACACTGTATGGTCCACTTAAACTGTGACCGGTTTTCTTTATTATTATTAACTTATCAATTCAAATATGCAAGATGGAAACAATCCATTTGTGAATTCTTATTTAAAAATGAGGATTTCCAACTATAACCTAACGATATACAGCAATGAACAACAAAATATCATTTTATTATTAAGATATAAAGTTTCAACTTGTACATTTTTTTCCCAGTTAACAATCACAACTGTTGGAAAAAAAAGGGCGACATGTTAGTAGTCAAACACTAATCCACCATTATTATTCAGAAGCTGTGAGCAAATAGAGAGAAGAATTATGTATTTCCCACACACCATTGGACTTTAAAAGACCATGTAGTCTTACAGATCTTCTAGTTCCAACAATTATTGTTGATATTTCCATGCTGCATATTTGAGTTAGGGGCATTTTGTTTGCTGGGTAGCAACCATTTTAATGGCAACAAAGTTGCTCTAGCCCAGTCTTCCAGTGGTGAGTGAGAAAATTACATCATATTTTATATAAAGTAGGGTTATTTGCAATATATCATATATTTATTCATCCGTACAATGGAATCCTGTGAACTCCATCTCATCCTCCAACCTTTCAGGCTCCTGGAAATGAGGTTGTATGCACTTAACTGCACTCCTATGTCCCTTCCAAGGCCTAAAGGCAATGTGCCTGCTTTTTTATGATCTGATTCTTCATATGCCAAGGCACCATACTGCTGCTTGTATTGCCATGCAGCTCGTAACACCCAGTAATTCAGGCAAACTGCCTGGAATCCTGGGTGTTCCACTTAATGCACTTTGGAGGCTCCTCCATATTTTCAACTTCAACTACCTCCAAATATTTACATTTTACAAACAGCCACCTCTTGGAAGCAGATATTTTCCTCCTGCCATCACATTGTCTGGCAGTAGTCATACAAGCACCTTGCAAACATTCAATAGTAGTTATTTTGTTTAGTCATAAATACTAAACGTCGGTTAATGAAGGGCAACAAAACTGCCATGAGTCAAGACATAGAACATTATGTCAATTTTGAGCTTATTCACTCTTTAACGTTTATGGCTTCATCATACTATCTCCTGTCCATAACCACAAAATAGTTTCAAATATGCACACGCTTTCAATACTGGGTGTATTAGGTATAGAAATTCCTGCAGTTACATGTATATCTCATCAAATGTAATATTATTGTAGTTAACACAACCATTGTTATGCTCCAGACAAAAACATAAGTGAATACGACATGTCCCAGCCTCAAAAATCATATACTGGGGAGCAGACACGTTTTATGCAAGCAGTTAGTTCACATGTGTAGGAGGTGTATCTCATCCCAACTTTAAACTCTCTTCTTAATAACATCAGGATACATATATAGAAGCTAGAATAATAACTTCTTAACCAAATTCATTGACAGAGCAAGACAAAGTAAAAGTAAGTGAATGACTTGTAGGAAAACAACTGTACAGCGCCTTTCAATTATTATGTATAACAATCTGTACAACAACAAAAGAGACAAATTTTAAAGTGCAAGCACTCCACGAGTCGAGCATGAACGGCTGTCAAGGGGCAAAGATATGGAAATTTTATTTGCGTTGCAGTCAACTGATTACGAGAGCGTAGTTATTGCTTCTGATATGAATTACTGCTTTTTGTAAAACCAGGATTAAAGCAGAAATTTAAAAAAAAAAACCTACACTGAGACAACTTGCCCAGATTATTTTTGCCTCGTCGTGAGAGACCTCTGCTAGCAGGGAATCGTTACAAGGGGAAGGTACCCTTTCGACTACTTGTACATGTGGAAACAATGATCTAAAATTATAAACGCTCAGTATACAAAAAAAAATTCGTGTTTAATTAGTCCTTTTCCTTTTACAATTTGAAGCATTCATAGCATTGATGAAATCAAGCGATATGCGGATCGCACTGTACACAAGAATTGTTCAAAACCATCTAGGCACTCACCATTCTTCACTATCGAGATCGCAGCTGGCGAGTGGCAGGCTCGATGTTTTCTGGCGACGCACAAACTTCATCAGCTTCGGACGATCTTCCGGCCGCTCAAAACGCCGGGGTTGAATTCCCGTGAAGGGCTGCCTTATACTTCGCATTCTAAAAGTTCTTGTACATCCGAATAATCGGACAAAGAGGTAGCGCTATCACTTGAAGAACTACAGTCAGCCATATTCGCGATCATCTGTTGTTCCACACCTGTGACGTCACGTCAAGTGATAGGCAAAAACGAAGCGTTAATGGCGGAAGTTCGAGTAAGCGGCAAATTTAACACTTTGAATCTCGATTTCTGAGCCAAATAGATCGCTGACGATATATTTCTTGATGGTATTACAATGAGAAAAACATTTGCAAGGTTTTTCTGAAAAATGTTGTCCTACGCGAGAGTTGCCCTTTAAGAAATCGCTTAAGGGAGTTTGTACCTACCTTAATTGCCTCAATTATGGCAAAGTTTGAACAAATTCTATGAGAGCGTTTTCGAAATATTTTAAAACGAAGTTTTAAGCATCATATAAACAGTGAAATAGCATGCTATCCACACAATTAGCTAATTTTTTAAGAAAATGATAAGCTTTGGAAACGGCTTCATCTCATCATAGTTATTAGAGGAGACTGGTTATGAAAAGCGGCAAACATCAATGATAAAAACAACAGTGCTGCAGTTTATGTTCAAAGCACCGTGACAGTGCACAGTCCTTTGTTTTCTGTTGGCAAATTGTTACGGAATAAATTAATGCAACGTTTTTATTGGTCAATACAATCAAAATGATAGGAATTCTTTTGTACGTTGTGCACTTTCAGGTCCACAAAAACATATAACAAAGGAGTCTGACGGGTTTCATAACCATTCCACTCAATTAACTATGATCTCATAGTGGTTTGATTCCATTGAAAACTGTGTCCAAAAAAGAAGGGAATTGCTCTGGGCGATCGCGAGTGAGAAGAATTTTTTAACTTGCATTCAGCTGCTTTTGATACAGTTTTTGCTCGTAATTTGGTCCACACCTACAAATTTCGCATTTTTCACAAAACCGCTCGATAAATTTTTTCATAAATTTGAAAGTCCCGAGATCAATTGTCAATAAATATACCCTGCAGGTTTCAAGAACATTGAAAACAGGGAAGGCTTTTAAATAAGGCCTCAAATTTGACGAATTTTCCCCCCAGATTTTGTGTTTACAAGTGAGCATCCAAATTATTCACGTAATGGCCTCGTTACGTTGCCATGGCGACTCCGATTGAAATAAAACCCAAATCATAAGAAATTTTCATCTTTATACAATACAGTTGTGGAAACCTTTTTTCCATATCTTTACTCATGGCGATGTAGTTAATGCTCAAATTCGGGAGGCATCCCCCCCAAAAAAAATCCAGGCGAGCCACCTTAATTGTTCCCAGATTACCACTGGCCACGTGCGCGTAAAAGGCGCCAAATTTCGTTCCAAAATGGCTTAGACCTTTCATCTCCATTCTAAAAGGTACAACCCTGGCAAATATTTGTAGTGAAATGGTGACGAGTGAAATGGATTTGGACAAAACGCGCGACTATACCATTTGATTACCTATTAATATCATGGGTGACGAATTACGTTAGCAATCGAGGATTTTTGACATGTTTATCCTGGATCGTATCGGTCGATCGATCGAGAACTCGACTCTCTCAAACGTTTAGGGCTGAAATTTGGCTTAGGTTTTCAGAATGTTTCGACAAAATACCTCTTAGAATCCTTTTTGATGTGCTCTTTCGTTTGTTCAGGTTTTCTAAATCGTCTTTTTATGCCCTGAAATCTTCGTTTATGACATTTTAAAACTTCGTCGCCATCTTGACACGGAGACGTACGGAAGGTTGCCACGGCAATTTTGTAATTTCGCATGTGAAATTACAAATTAACGCTGAAATTTCGCGCCAAAATTAAGGAGTAATTCGTCACCTATGATATTACAGTAGATATCAATTCGAACGAATGGCGAAAGAAAAGCATCGAGCAAACCTGACAGTTTAGAAACGGTACAGGACTTTTGAATGAGGTTCAGACCGAGGAAAGTGCTTTCGGACTCGAAACAACTGACAAGCAAGCCCAGAAAGGGGTGCGCGACTTCAGCCAAAGAAGGGACAATTCAGATAATGATAAAACTTTATCCTGCTAAGGTGGGTGCCCCTACATTATTTAATCTTAACATGTACAACGGCAGTAATTTCTAATCAACGCTTAGATTTAAGGTGCCCGTGACCCCCTACTGGCACCATCTTTTCCTTTCCATCTAAACAGGCCCTTAGTTTAGCCTGCGTAGCGAGCATTTCTGCGCAGCATGCAACATACCGCGCAATTGCTTGCTACACAGCCTTTTGTAAAGTGGACTATAATATTTCAATACGTTATTTTGTTTTTCAATTCTGTTAATTTCTAGATGTGGGGCGTGTTTGCTAATGAAAGTAACTACCGCGGCACAACTGTAAATCATGTCAGGTAATGAGATTACTGTATTTTTTTTATTCCAAATTGCGAGCCACATCGAACAATAACAGTATAAATCTAGTGTTCTTGGCCGAGATTATTTACATGTAGAACCTCTGGACTAAGGCTAGATGTACCCTTATCTCTGGGTACCTGCTTAGCGGCCTGTTTTATAGGGCATGTGATAAAACATGGACTGGACTGGACTGGTAAAACATGGAGTGATAAAACATGGAGAGGATATGGATTAATAAAATAAAATACAGTCAACATAAGCAAATACATGACTTCTTGTTCTGCGGAGGGGCAGTGAAAGAAGGAAAGTCTCCAGATTTTCGATCTCCAGAGGTTGGCATCTCTGGACTTACCTTCTACCAAAAAAAAGAAACTAGTAAGAAAGGTGGGGGGAAAAGAAAAGAAAAGAATGACTTGAGAATACTATGATTTTCAACTACAGTGAGATTTAAACCCGGTCTGCCGATGGGAGAAAAAAAAGCCATGTCAATGTGACCATGAAGGCACAAACCATATAGCCAAGGAAATTACAATTCATTAAAATTAACAGAAAGATGATCCAGTCTTATCTGATTGATCACTTGACTCTGTTGAAACGGAAAACGCTTCTTTTATGCTTAAAATTCAATGAACGGTTAAACTCCTTTGCGGGTGAGTAAAAGCACCTTTTGAAAAAAAAAATTGGCTCTCTTCTTCTTATGGTTTCGTTTAACTTGCCGGTGAAGTTTGATTTTATGAGTTAACATAGAGTATGTGGTCCTTGGTCCCGACGAAAAAGACATAAATTAAATGCGTATTTCTTATCTTAGAAGAAGAGCAGTGACCTGAATTTGTCTTGAAAGTTGCCGTAACATTTTTGAAATTGACGATTAAGTGACTTTATTTTTTTCTTTTTTACAAAAATTGTACGTTAATCAACAATTGAAACAAAACCAATGTGCTGTCCCTTAGCGGCAGTTGTATTCCTCTAAAAGTCAGTCTTACAGTAATAAAAAAAGTCTTCTTGTTCTTCCGAGTCATTATCGAGTATCGAGAGTATCGTTACATGTCCTTTCTAGGAGATCTCAATAGAACCTTCAATCTCTTCTAATAGTTGGGCGAAAAAGACATAAAAAGACATAAATTAAATGCGTATTTCTTATCTTAGAAGAAGAGCAGTGACCTGAATTTGTCTTGAAAGTTGCCGATGGGCGATGCCAGCCTTTTCCCACCCTTTAGCGATATGGCGCCAATATTACTGCTGAGATGGTTGTACAGGTCCACCAACCATGAAGCGTGGAGAGGTTTCAGGGCTGTAAGTCTCAAGTGGGCGTTGACCTCACAATTAGCATCACCGTTTCCTGGGTTTATCTGTTTCTGTACCTCTTCGGAGTATCATGTGGTAAATTTGTCTTTCATAAAGCGCTTCGCCTCACCATTAACAGTCAGATCTAATGGCTGAAAAAAGTGAGTCATATTAGCGGGTACGGACACAACCACGATATTTAGACATGCCAGCTTTGACAAGACCCTCGCCGTCGTTTGTCCCTTAAACACATCCCAGATCAGAAGCGCTCTCTGGTTAATGGCAGCTTCAGTTCTTTCTTTTTCCTCCCAACGAATGGCTTGATGACTTTGTCGATCAGGGAAAGTGTTTCCGCTTCATTTGAGTAGTGCTTCTCATGCAGTGAAACTGCAAACCCATTTTGAAACTTGAAGCCCACTGGCTGACTTCTTGAAGTTTTGTCTTGGTATATGAACTGCATTGGCGAGAACTCCCCCGACAACGAAATAACAAATGTAAGCGTTGTTCCTTTTATCGGTTAAGCCTTTGATAGGGACTGAAGAAGAGTTCTTCGAGGCCATTGTCATTCTTCCTACTGAGACTTACGAGGAAGGGGCTTGGTCCGTGCTTAGCACCAACTCGGGTGGGATTTTCTGCTGGGTGATCGCACGGCTGATATCTGTAAGAAAAATGAGCTTGCACTCTTCAAACACCCCGCGAGGTACTGGGGGACGGGTTGTTGTTCCGGCTCGGCGGGTGAAATTGCAACGTCTACAAGTAGACTTCACCCAGGTAGGTTTGGGCTCAAATCCTCTCAATCCACTTATGTTGTTGCTGTTTACAAGTGCCAGTGCAGTAGCCTTAACCTCGCATGAATTTACAACACCGCCTCTGCTACGAATACTCTTGAGAAAGGAGATTAGCTTGCTATCCAGTTCAAGAAGGCTTGGTGGACGACCATGTGTATAATGTGGGATAGCCACGATATTTGCCTGTGCATTCCCCTTTCGCCTCTCATTTCAATCGTTTCTCGTACGCTTGCTTGAAAGTCCTGACTGTACTTTCCTTTAGGGCCGGTGGTCCTTTCTTGACGTGAGCCTTTGAATTGCCATTCTCACTAGCATATTTGCCGATCTTGGCACGAATCTGGGCGGAGAAGTGCGTGTATTTTCCGCGCTTTCTGGATGAAGATGCAGTAGAAGGCTCGGTTGTAACAATATCCGCAACACTCGATACAACAGCGTTGTATTCTACGTCTCCCAGTGAAGTGCTCTCTTTACGTGGAAAACAGGCTGGGACTGAATGCTAACTCTCTATATCTTCGCTATTCTCAGGTTGTTCTGGTGTTTGTCGCCTCTGGATCGTAAAGCCACAGCGAAATAAAGACAATGCGCCAAGCAGTGGTACTTGACCGTCGTGGCTTTACCAGATGATTGCAAACACGTAAGGGAACTTGATATTCTATTGCGTTTCGTGGTTTTACGCGTCTAAACTGAAACATTATACCCATTGCGGTATATAGCCCACCCGTAGGCTATAAGTTAGCCTTGTCCTCAGGCTTTTTGTTGTCAGCTCCGTCTTTTGCCTCCGTCTTTCAGAGCTGGCTATAGCCCTAACACGAGCATCTAAGGAATTTAAACGACGGTGATTTCATCAAACATTCATTTTTGTGGGGCCTTCGTGGATTCCATGTTTACAAAGAGATTTGGAAGCCCATCGTCGGGGAGCTTTTGAGATGTTCTCACGAACGAAACAATATGTACGATCGTTACGCAATCGCAGCTAACAAACGGCTCCGTGGTCGCCTGGCCGATTCGATTATAGGCCATTTTCCCAGAGAGATTTCTAGAGCTACTCGCCTTTTCTTATTGAGAGGTGGGATGGTTCATCTTGAAGTTACTGATGAAAACTATCGTCGATCCCCATTGATTCAGGGAGGTCTGGCAATTCCTGTTGAGGTAGTATGTGAAATGGACGATACACCAAGAAACAGGGCAATAATGGAAAGATACAAGACACTCGTAATTACACACTACAAGGAGCCGGGACAGGATGTTCAATTTGACGACTGTACAAAGGATGTATTGGAGGAACTGTTCGAAGATGATTACTCAGATTGCGAAGAAGAACTTGAGGCGAATCTTGACACTGATTAACATCTAAAGTTGATAGATGATAGCTCCTTTTACTAACACCTTGTGTTAAAAATTGTTTAGGACCCTTGAAATCACAAATACATGATTTTTCTATGTCCATTAAATTTCGCGAGATCAAAGTTCGCGGTCGTCATTTTTGACGGGTCTTTAAGTTCGCGAATTTTTTAAAATCGCGAAAATCGCGAATTTAAGAACCCGCCAAAATTAAGGAAAATAAGGTACCTTTTATTAGTTCGAGAAGGCAAAACTTCTAATTTTGCAGCCTTCGTTTTTTTACTCACTTTTTTTATATCCTTCGAGGAGTATAAGTCTTTTAAGATGAGTCTTTTAAGTCTTTTATATAAGCTTAAAAGCTACTTGAGCTGGACAACTCAGTGACTTGCCAAGATTTGAATATATTAATATTTTGCCTGCCCTAATAATTTTTACAATCGCAAGTTTTGAAGAACAACATGGAAGATAAAAATAAAATATATGCCCGGCAGCCAGGAAGGGTCTAAGCTGCACGGCAGTCAGAATTTTTTTTTTATTTTCTTCAAAATCCCTTTTTCTTAATATAATCATTTGAAAGTATTATATCTTCATTTTGAATTACCAAGCGATTAGGAAAACAGGAATGGCTTCGCAGTAGAACGGTACTGGTTTCTTGGGCATAAGGGACTTTAAGAACCGACAACGCGGTGGTCTGGAAAACGTGAGGACCGAGAGTGGTGCTGGGGCGAGCACCGCGTTCTAAGAGGGGGAAATATGTACTTAAGATCAACAACGCGATCATTTACATTAATAGTCATCGTCTGGAAAACAGTAAAACGCTTTTCACCCTCCCTAAAAGAATGACTCAAAACTCATTTAAGACTTTACAGGAAGCTTTGCTCCTTGTTCTGGATGAAAAGCTAATAGATGACGAAGAATTTGCCGTGCTGTATGAAGAATTCACTCTACAAAACCTTCCGTTTAGCCACTGGGATGACGAAAACTTTTTCCTCGAAAACAAAGACTCCGCAGATTGTAAGGCAGACTTCAGATTTGAAAAGAGTGACATCTTATTGCTGGTGGATGTTTTACAGATGATACCTTCACATGTCCGAATGGTGCCGTTTGTGATTCAACAGAAGGACTTTGTGTTATACTGAAGCGCTTCAGCTATCCATGTAGGTTGTCTGAGATGATTTCTACTTTTGGTCGATCAGTACCCGAGCTCAGCATGGTTAGCAAGGAAGTCACTGACTGGGCGTACAATGTTCATGGCCATGGGATTACCGAATGGAATCATTTCATTATGTCTCCTAATCTACTGCAAACTTACTCTGAAGCAATTCATGACAAAGGTGCCGCCTTGGACAACTGTTTCGGCTTTGTTGATGGAACGGTTCGTCCCATATCAAAACCAGGAGTCAATCGGAGAGCTGTTTATAATGGCCATGCCACAAGCGTGTTCACGCTCTTAAATTTCAATCCTTGGCCCTACCAAATGGATTGATTGGCCATGTGTTTGGACCAGTAGGTAAGGGTTTCATTTTTTATGGTGGGATAGTACCGTAGCTGTTTTTACTTGGAGAGACATTTTTATCACCTATGTGAACTTAAAAGGTTAGATTGACTTCTTTTCTCATGTTAAGCTGACGTTTCTTGATGGCTCCCTCCCGGTCTCTCAATTCAGAGGTATTTTCAGTAACTCCCGTTCCCATTTGTTATTAGAGGAAATGGTTGTCCTGTCACCACAGACAAGTAAATTATAAATTCTGACTTATAGGCCATAAGTACCTGGACTGCAAGAATAATAGCCAGCCAATTACTAAGCTAATTAATGGTCTATATAGGCAACAGTTTGTCAGCCGACCAATGTGTGACTGATTGTGGTTCAAAAGTTATATTTTTGGCTCTTCTTCAGAGGGACGAATGCATGATGCGAGAATGTTGGACACATCTGGCCTCTATGTTGACCTGGCACACTTCGCCTTTTCCCCTGCTGGACAGGAGAAGTGTATCCACGGGGATCCGGCATATCCTCTACATACCCATCTGCAGTGCCCCTTCAGACTTGGGGTGTTAACAAGACAAATGGAAGAGTTTAATGCATTTACGAGTTCTGTACGTACAAGTGTGGAATGGTAGTTTGGAGACCTTATAAATTATTTCAAGTTTCTCGACTACAAAAAAAATCTCAAAATTGGCCTTAGCCATGTAGGAAAAATGTACATTGTTTGTGCACTTTTGCGGAATGCTTTAACATGTCTCTGCCGCAAAACGACTGCTCACTACTTTGGCCTTGACCCCTCATCACTAGTCGATTACTTTAGCTAAAATACTGTAACAAAAACACCTGTCAATGCTTACGTTTACATAAAATCTTGCATAAAATCCTGATTGAACAGTTGTTGTGTGTTATTTGTAGGGAATGTTACAACAAGCAGAACTAAATAAAGGCGTGGCAAATAATACTCTGACTTCAACATTTTGTAAAAATGTAAATCTTAAACATGTAAACATCGAGAAATAGAAATTTAATATCTTCTTGTTAAGCATTTTACTAATGACGCCCATGACCTGCTGCATCATGAGCATTTGTTGCTGCTGGAACCGTTGCTGTTATTGCTGAAACTTTCTCAGAAATGAAAAACTTGCATATTTCTAGTTAGTCTTTCTATAGTTGAAAAAATAAAATAATGAAAGCACATAATGTCTTTTATTTTATCAAGTTGAAAACAGTGATCAGCCCATGCAAAGAAATCTGACAGTCTTGGATTCTCAATTCTGCGCCATGGATACTGCATTCTGGATTCTTTGTCAGTGGAACTTGGATTCCGGATTCCAGTTATAAGTGGGATCCAGAGTACTTGACCTTTATTCCAGATTCCAAGAGAAAAATTTCCCAGATTCCAGATTCCCTTACATGGGGTGACAGTGATCCTAAGATAAATACGTTTTCTGTCAAACCAAAACCTGTTAATTGAGCTTGTAATTACTGTAGGCTAAGTATGCATGTTGTTCTTGTCACTGCATGTTGGTCTTGTTACTATATGCTTGAAAAGGGGATTGTGGACCAGGTGAAATAGTGGCTGGCATTGTAGTTTTCCAAAACCAGCTGGGTATGATTATGAAGCAGCTATAATTCAGTTCTAAAACTTGGATTTAAAAAAATAAACTGCTTCAAAGGGTGCATATATCACTATCCACTGAATAAACAAGAACAGAAGGGGCATGCAGCATCTTGATCATAAGATTTTTCATGTAGGGATGCCAAGGCTTTTGAAGTGTTTTGCGTCAGAGCCCCCATAAGCATAGTCAGCTTTTAGTTGCCTAGTCATGGCCAATGATTTTCGAGTCACATGGTCCCAAGCGAAATAGTGAAACAGTTTCCGTCCAGTTTGCCTAAGATAAGTCACCAAAATGAATTGACCAAGAAGGCCTGGGAAAATGTCATACAGGGATAAGGCAAGGCTTTTAGCTTGTTTATTTGTTGGGCTGTGAGGTTGCAGCTGTTAGATGTGCTGGCTTAAATACTCCCAAAGTCTACTTTTAGGTGTTGGTTAGTCTTAGTCATAGTGTCTGTATCATAATCATATCATCAGAAATAATCAGATTAACTCAACTGTTAAACTGATAATCGATTATAGTAGATTATAGTTTTGTGACCCCTGTGCGCCACTTTCAACACTGAAAATAGTTTTGTAAGTGAACAAAACAGAAAACCTACCCCGCAAGCAGAGGCTTATCTGTCACATAGTTAAACCAACTAAACATCATATAAACTACATTTAGAGTCCGTCAAAAAGACAACACAGGTGTATTAATGTCCTTATTTGTCAACAATGTTTTATGAATTTTCCACAACAATCAATTGCACATTTATATATTAAACAATACTCACTTTGCTTTAGGTTTCTGATCAATGATAGATGATGATAGATAATCAGCACACCAGTATCAGGTCATGTCTCAATTAGAGTACGAAAGGGCCCATCTGACGAGCAAAGCATGTTTGACTTAAAAGATCTATTATCTCCAAATGAGATAGGAACTTTTACAGTGCACATGACTCAGAAAGGACTATCAAATTTTTGAACAACTGAAGTCTAACCTTTAGTCAATTTGTAAATTGCCATGGCAAAGCACAGCCCCAAGTAATATGTAAAATAAACCAAAGTCAGGGATAAAAAAAAGTTTTTGCGCTAAAAATTAAATCTGTTTCAAAGCGGAGAATACATTTTAGATTGCTATATTACAAACAATGGAAACACTCTTCACCTTGTGGTAGCTCTTAAAGCGGGGTTAATGCTTTTTTTTTTTACATTTGAGAGGCAAAAAAACCAATAACAACAACATCTTAAATCCTCTATTAAAGCCCCCCTCTCTCAAATAAGCCCTCTTTTTCAGTGGAAGAAAGTTTTAACAATAAGCCCCCCTCTCTTTTATCCCCATCACACCTTCCCCCCCCACTCCCTTTTCTTATTCTTCACTAATAATTAAAAGACTGTATCAATCAATGACGACTGTAAAACTTTGTGTGGACCGATCAAGGATTCCAGCAACTGGAAGTTTGGATTTGTTTTTGATCATCGGCTGCTTGACCTCCAACCTTCTTGTACTTGAGCCTTTTCACGTGGCATTTTTTTGGGGGAACTAATATCAGCATCTTTGCTAGGTTAAATAAGGCCTCTATCTCTATTGCCCGGAAGCATTGTGAACAGGGTTAGATATCAAAAGCTAACAAGAAAGTCTAAAACTGTGAGGTAGATGAAGATTGACAATAATTTTATTACCTGTACGAGATCAAGTGAAAAAATATCCAAACCGCAAGCAAGCGCGATTTACTTCAATTGCATCGCGATCGCTGATATCGCGCCGCGATCACGATAATCCCGCCGAGATCAGAATCATCTTCAACTACAAAGATTTTGCAGTTGATTTTGTAGTTTGGCGTTAAGCGAATTATAACCGTGACTTTAATGAGGCTTACTCTCAAAGTGTTATCCCTTTGACGCTCAAATAAAGACTGATCACAGAGGCGTTATTGTGCCTGCAGGCGCGAAACTTAAGGCCATGAGATACAAATGCACAATGCACGATTACAGGGAGCATAGAAAAATTGCGTTTCTTGCAAAACTTCTAGAACAAAGCTGGGACGTTATTTTTGATAGCGAAGATGTGGAATCTACTTCTCGTTACTTGCAATCAACGCTCCGTGACCTTATGAATGAAAACGTTCCAGCTAAAACCGTGCGTATGTCTACGCGCGATCCACTATGGATGACTCCGCTGGCCAAAGCTCTGCTGAAGAAAAAAGCCAAGGCTAAATGCCGCTGCCCGGATGGATGCCCAATTAATCTTGAAGAAAGAATTAACGCGATTGTTGCAGAAAATCATAAATCGCTTGCGAGTGGAAAGAAGGGCTCTAAGGCCTGGTGGGAAAAGGCCGATGCGCTGTCAACGAGGAAAGAAAGATCCAACCCAAGCTTTGACGAGGACTCTGTGAAAGAACTTAATCATTATTTTGCAAATTTATGTCACGATGAAGGTTATATCAGACCCGTACCCATGGACATCACGGAAAACATTCCTGCACCACAGCTCACACTGAGCCAGGTTTACTACGCTCTGCTCAAAACAAAGCAAACATCTACCGGCCCAGATAATATACCATTCTAGGTCTGGAAGGAGAACGCTGCCATATTGGCACCTGCAGTACAAGCAATCTGGAACCTATCCTTGTCAACTCAAAGGTGGCCCAGTGCATAGAAGCAAGCTAATGTCTATCCGCTACCCAAAGTAGACATTCCAGTCCAGCCTCAAGACTTTAGGGAAATCTGCATTACACCGGTAATTGCTAGGACTTTTGAGCGAGTAGTGTGTAGCACCTTTAGTAAAAAAGGTGTGGAGAATTACTTGAATAATAACCAGTTTGCGTACAGAACAGGAGGCAGTTGTACAAACGCGCTTCTTAAAATACAGCATGAATTTCTCCAAGCTTTAGATAGCAACGATAACCGAGCAGTCAGGCTGTTTACGATGGATGTTTCAAAAGCCGTTGACAGAGTCAAGCACAATTTACTAATAGAGAAATTAACACAGAGCCCTTTAAACCCATACATTGCCAACTGGTACGTCAGCTTCTTGTCTGACAGAAAACAGAGTGAGTGGTCTGTCATAATACTGTTTGTGATCGGAAGGATGTCAACCGTGGTACTACTCAGCGAAGCGTCAGCGGCCCGTATTTGTTTAACCTCTTCTTAAACGATCTTGACGTCGCTCAGTACTCCCAGGATAGCGATCTTACTAAGTATGCAGACGACACTTCTATTCTTGAGACTGTGCGTAAGAATAGTGTACATGAGTCACAAAAGGCACTGAATGCATTTTTGGAGTGGACAGAGGTTAATGGTATGAGCTGTAACACACGCAAATGCAAAGAACTCTGTATGGCTAAAACAGGTGTCTAACCGAACTTTCCCCCTCTATGTGGCATAGAACCGAGTGACAGTTTCACTCTATTAGGTGTCACATTACAAAAACGACTGTAAGTTTTCATTTCATGTTAACGGAAAGCTTCGGGAAGCAAACAAGTGTTTGTACATTTTGCGATCGGTACGAAAAGATGGATACACGCAGGTAGAAATAGATTATCTCTTTAAGGCTATTGTTCCGCCAAAGATCACATACGCAGTTCCAGTATATGGAGCCAGCCAGGTAGATTTAAACACCATACAATGCTTTTTAAAAAGGTGCAATAAGCGACGTTACACTTCAGAGTTAATTAATATCTATGACCTTTTAGAAAAGTGTGACCGCAGGTTGTTCACCAAAATTAAGAACAATGTTAACCATGCATTATATGCCCTTTTGCCGAAAGTCAGAGTCATCCAAGAAGTTAAGATCACAAACAAGTCAATTACCACGGATTAATACAGAACGTTTTTAGAATTGCTATTTTAGTAGATAAGGTTTCAAGACAACTTGGCAATTTAACAATATAGATATCCAATGTTTTATTAGGTTTTATATAATAAGTGTAAATGATCTGTGCGATTTTCATGATTTGTAACGTTTGTTATGTATTTTAACGGGCGGAATAAATACATTTATTTATTTATTATTTATTTAATGCTTTAAGGTGATGTTACATGGGACGATTCGCAACGACGATTTTTAGTGCAACACAGCAATGTTGGAACAATGTTGCAACCATTAGAAACAATGTCGCAACAATGTTGTAATGCTGTGTTGCGCTAAATACCGTGGTTGCGAATCTTTCCGTCCATCTAGTTCATGTTTTTCCAATCCAGTCCAGTCCATATTTTATCACAGCCGTTTTATAGTACCTTTTTCTTCAGATGTATGTGACTCATGACCATTTATTGCCATCAAGACACGTCTTCACAATGAAGGAACTTACCGAGATGGTGAAAAATTCACCGTGAGCGAAGAAGTTAGTCAAAAGAGTGACACGCTAAACACTTGCTGATTTCCTTGTTACTGGACCAACGGGTGGAAGGAAGCCCAAACTAAGATGATATCTTGAATCTCTAAAAACCTTGTTTTCTTCTTATAGATGTGGAAGTGTGATTGTCGATCTCACCCTGAGTTTTAGTGCCCTTGTTACCGAAAAGCGGATACTATATATTCTTAAAGACGCCGCTAAGGATGGGAAGTTTGGAAGTTTCAATGTAGACGCTTCATCCAACAAAGGAACACAACCAGAAATTCCAGTTACAATCCGCCCGGGCATTGGTAAAACCACACCAAAGCTACCTGATGGTACGATTTTAAGCAAAAAGTGTTTTCTTTTGACATAATTTAACCTTTAGTTCTGTAATAAATAGATTTAGTCGAGCTAAAAGCGAAGCTCCAATTAATAAATTTATAATTAAAATCAAACAATAAACTTGTAATTTACAAATCAGTTAACTTTAGGGCACATTCAGGTGACTTTTGAGGGAAAGGCTAAGTTATTTTATAGTCAAACATCTTACATCGAGTTGATAGCCTTATATGTACACCCAAAAGACAGCAACCATCTTCGATCACATTCAAGAGCCATAATGGCTCTTGATCACAGTAGATTAGGCCTCGAAAACAAATCAGGCCGAATTCTTTTGCGTTCGACAGGTTTACTTTACAAATTCTTGCCAACAAATCTGGGGGTGTGCATGTAAACCAACCTTTTATACTTTTTATACATCACAGACGTCGGACAGAATGCGGTATTTCACAATTTTTTAAAGACAAATTGCACTTAGCCAATATTCAGGACGATGAATCGTGCGCTTTTAGCGAAACCGTTCCAAAAAATTTCCAAAATCATCCATACGGCAAGCCGGTTCTCGTTTCTAGTGCGAGCTGTCAGTCTGGTCGAGTGTTTGAATAAACTTTACGCTTCAACACAATAACGAATTTATTATTACATTAATTTATATTAAATGGTTTCAGTTACAACAATGATGTGTAATCTTATAAAGTACTCCTGCAACCGATGTTCATGAACGGATGAAAACAAACGGCACGTACAAGCGGTTAAAATTGCAAGTGAGACTACTAACAATCAATAAAAAAAATATAATTCGGTGAAACATTTACAGAGGCAACAATTTTCATTCACGAAGATAGGTATTAAAGTGTCGCTAAAAATCCTGAGTCTTAAAGCTTAAAGCTTAAGCTTAATATTAAGTTAATTATGTTTTACTTTAAGCTGGCCTCCCAGTGTCTGCTTTTTTCAAAGATGAACTCCTCGAAACAAGAAAATCGCTCAAAGTTTCCTTTCTACAGCCAAATTTATAACTAAATATTCTTGGGAACGTTTTCTTTCTATTTGCGGTGAGAAAATATATCTGAAGGCCTTTTAAAATTCTGTAAGCTTATATCAAACCTGATACTAGGTCAGATCATTGTCTCAAATTCTTACAAACTTTCCGCATAAACTGTGCTGGACTTCATGAAATTAGATATAACAAAAACAAACGTCAAATACAATAATTACTGAGGGTTACCATTCGAGATTCAGTTCCTGAAAGCTATCAAGAAAGGTAGTTGCTTGAGACTTTTAAACCCTCTTGCGTATTAAGCAAGGTGAAAAACGAAAACGATGCCATCCGTAATCAGATTACCGAATTTTGACAAGCGACGCTCCAATAAACAAACCAACCATGAATAACAGAAGACTCTTGATAGCAGCTGTATTTCGTTTTGTACATCCAGTGGAAAAAGACGGTTAAAAACGTCACGAGTTGACACAAAAGTCTGTCCGCTTCAGCTGTCAAAGTAAACAACTTTCAAGATGCTACATAAATTTTCCGCATGAACTCGCCTGTCAAATTTTGACCAATCAGAGCATAAAAATTGGACGTAGAGCGTGACCAACGCGTGACCATGGTAAGAAAAGGTCTTCACCGCATGTATTTAAAAAAATAACTGGCAGAATTATCGCGTACGAGGTCAGTTTGATATCAAAATCTTAATAGTGTGGGGCCATAGTGACATAAACACAGCATATTTCATACGAATCATTGGAAAAAATAAACTTAAGCCTGCGATCATTTGAAACTGGTTATTTGTCGATGGGTCGACACTTGAGCCCGCGGTACGATAAGGTGGTACTGGTCAGCGTATACCCTGTTTTGACAGCTGTCAATTGATCACAACATTGATGTGCAATCAGTTTTCTCTTGGGCTCCCAAACTAGCTAGAAAGTGTAAGAGTAAACGTTGGTTTCCCTGTGATGCGGACGGACGCTTGGTCGGAGTACGATCACTTGATTACCACATTTTCTGGGATGAGTAGATTTCCTTAACTATGGAGCATTGCTGTTAAAATGGCCCACATGTTTAAGGTGCTTCCCTAGAGAATTTACTAATAACCCTAGCTATCTAGCATACGTTACAGAAGGAAACCTAGTTACTTTGTCTTTGCGATTTTGTTCATGAAATTCACCGCTAAGGTTACCCATGTGAGAAGGCTCCTTTGTCAAGTTTCATTTTCTGGATTAAGGCCGTTGTCATGGCAACATCGCATCCCAATTATTTACTGCCTGGCAGAAAAAAAAATCATTCCTTTTGTCAGGGATGTTGTTTGTTTCACTCTGCAGACTCAAATTGTTGGATTTGCATCTTAGGAACTTACTATTTGTTTAGTATTTACTGCCTATTATTTATATTTCTTATTTCCCTCAGTGAAATGTCTTTAAACTCTGCCACATTATATTAACGATATTGCTTAACATTTTAAAGTGGAAAAAACATGGGGTCGTTAAGACGGTTTTGCCAATATTTTGAAATTTGTAATTTTTCTTAATAGAGGAGTTTAGCTCTTACAGATTTTAACAAAAAAAGGACGGTATAAAGGTACTGCAACTGTTAAGAAATGAGGCGATTTTTACAAGAATTTACCGAAGGAAACGCGAGAAATTCACGATTAATTAACTGCGCTGACGTCACAAAAATCAGAAAAACACGAGTGGTTCGGGTTAGCATGAGCAAAATACGCGCGTGAGCCATCACGCCCGCATGCGCGTAATGCACATAGATGAAAATATGAAGATTTCTTCGAAAAGTACGAAAGCCATTGTTAAAGCTGTTTATTAGTATTATTACGGTGATATCTCGCCAGTTGAGAAAGGAGAGATAGCGGATTCAATTTTATACCTAACACTGGATGTTTTCGTCGAAATACTTACCATTGTAGCCAAAATTTGAGCCGCGGTGGTCACCCGTGAGATGGAGACGGTGGTTGTGAAGATCGCAATAAGCCCTTCATTTCCAAATCTGCTGTACCGACTGTTTGTAGATCTTCATATGCCAGCCCACTTCCGGATACTTTTTCAACCTTGTTCTTCTTTAGGGATAATTTCGACGGCGAAGTTTTTCTTTAAAAGTCTGCTGTAAAAGATGGTGTCGATCTAAAAAACGTACATCACGTCCTAAGCTGCACATACAAGACCGTAGTTCACGACGGACATCCTACTATTGCTTTCGTCAAGGGTCAATCTTTGACTTAAAAATTAGTGCAAAAACATTTTCTAGTGCATCTTGAGCGTTGACGGACTCTTGAAACAAGAAAAAGTGCAAGGATGTTAGTTCGTCGATGCAAAGGTTTTTTCGATCAGGATGCAAGTTAAATAGGAAAGGTTTCTTCTGATATTAACAGAAAGTTAATAAAGTTTTTTGGGGGAAATATTTCGAAACTGAGAAGCCATGTTTGTTTTATTTTTGCGTGGGAGTCTCTCGGATTTTAAAGCTCGCGCCATACTAGTGCTCAGGCTGCGCGCGGCCAATTTACTTAGCTAAACACTGTTCTGGCCATCTCAGGTTCGTGTTACCTTAACACCTGCATCTAATTCGAGATGCAGCCCTGAAAGGTATCAAGTAAGGCCAGTATCGCTTCAGACTTTGCAACCCTCTTACGCATCAAGCAAGGTGAAAAACAAAAACGATGCCATCCGAAATCGGATTTCCGACATTGACAAGTGACGTATTTCTCAACCAAAAACTCAATAAAGAAACTAGCCATGAATAACAGAAGACTCCTGATAGCAGCTGAATTTCATTTTGTACATCCAGTCGAAAAAGACAGTTAAAAACATCACAACTTGACACAAAACTCTGTCAGCTTCAGCTGACAACAAGATTCAACAAGATTCAAGATGCTGCATAAATTTTCCGCAAGAACTCACCTGTCGAATTTCGACCAATCACAGCATTAAAATCGGACGACGAACGTGACCAACGCGTGACCTTGGTGAGCAAAGTCAAAAGCAACCCTGCCTGTAATAGCTAGCTGAATTTTCGCGTACGAGGTCAGTTTGAAATCAGAATTTTAATTGTGCGGTAGATTCATATGAATTGAAAAAAAAATAAACTTGAGCCTGCGATCATTTGAAAATTAGTAACTTGCCAGCGGATAAATTCAAAAAATACTTGACCTCACTGGGTCGAAACCTGAGCCGGCGATACGGTCAAGTGATACTGGTCAGCGGATACCCTGTTGTGACAGCTGTCAATTGATCACAACATTGTGAGCCCTGCTATCAATAATCTTCGTCCGTTTTACATTTAAGTGCGTCTCAAACATACACAGTAATCACCAGTTATCATAGAACCTTCTGGAGCTTTATTTAAATTGTTTTTCGTTACAACCATTGCAATGGATCGCAGCGCTCTACTATTCCAATAAAATGGCAACGACCCCTTGTCTAATTCCAGACGATAAACTGCCAATCGTTCTTGCGATCGTCCTACCTATCGTTGTGCTTGCTGTCTTTGCTGGAGTCTTTGCTCGCTGGATGTGGAGGAGAAATAAGGACAAGAAGATGGCGAACAAGGGTGATTATATAAAGCTATATAACTAAAGAAATTTGTTCGAGCCCTCTGTGCTCAATGTGCAAAACAAGCAATACAGGCGAAATTTTGGGGGGGGTTTCGTACAAACCCCTAAATTAATAATCCATGCTGTGATTTTAAACTATTTCACACAAATAGCTTACATTACTGGAAACATCTATGCATAATAAATGTATGGGGCTGTACGGATATATCACCAAAATTTAATTCCCTTAATTCTTAAAGTACTGCTAAGTGATTATAGACTTCGCTGTTATAAGTTGCTAGATTTTAAGAATAAAATTTCTAGACTGCCAAACTAACAAAACCGTGAACATCTGAAATATTTGAAAACTGTTTTTTGTGATGGCGACCAATCACAGCATGGATTAGGACACACGAGCAAGCCACAGAGCCACAATCTACTTGAAGCACAGGCAGCCCAGGCCCTATGAAAGTTCGTTTGCCCTTGAATTTTGTAAGAGAATGTATGAGAACAAACAAAATAGGTTCTAAATTCCCCTTTCTTAATTTTTGAAAATATTCGAAATAAAACGGCTCACTTTTTTGCTTTGTGTTTTATAGATTAGTACGCTTCTCGATCCGAGGCATTTATAAGCCATCTTGGCGAGTTTTAGATGTTTTAGTTGTACGTACCATAAGAAAGAGAAACGGCCCTTACCAGAATAAAGGGGAGGGTTATTTATTATAACACAGATGTATAGTAATAATACCATAAGGGAAACGTAGGGTTCTTATAAAACCTAGTTTTTTGTCACTTTCTCCAAAGTCTTTTTTTGCAGACTTTTGGAATGTTATGGAGGACATTTTGCTTAACCGAAAACCGTTAAAAAACGTTATTTTGCAAAGAAAACAAAAAAAAAAATAAAAAGGGATTAAAAGAAGAAAAGCCAAGGTGATCTATTGTGGCAATTCAACACCTGGCTGGACTTATGGCAATTTTTTATCTTTATCATTTAAATCTGACCTGACCGTTTTCCGATATCTTTAGCGACGGAATCAATGCTCAAACTTGAAAAGTATTCCTCTCGCCAATAAATATCCAGTGGAGCTACCTTAACTAACTGCGTTGTTACTTTAACAACCTGCTAAGTTTAACCTTTTTATTCTCTTATAGGGATAGCAAAAGGAGGAAGGTGATCTCATGTTCTGATGGTAGCGTTAGTACTCCCAATTAGTTCTTTGATTTATCCGACAAAAATAAGATATTTGAATAACTAGTACTCTTCCTGACATCGTTGTCTTGGAGCAATGTTAAGTTATTTGGTAAGATTTTTTTCCGAGAGACAAACTGATTTAACGTTTAATTACCTAGTTTTCATATGTGGACGCAACGTGGCCGAGTGGTTAGAGCGCTGGAGTGCCCTGACCGCTAGCTGGATTCGTTCTCGGTAGTCACGAGTGGGGTTTGTCGGCGTCGCATGTGGAAAAGCCAACTGGTTTACCCTCTATAATTTGGAATTCTTAACATCGTTATGTTGCCTTTGAATTATTTGCTTAATGTTCATTATCCTTTAAACTAGGGGACAAGATGTTTACACTTTTTCATTTCCAAAAATAACGCTAACTGGGGTCACTCATTTAAAAAAAAGAGAGCGAACGTCGCGTTTTGCATACATGTATTCTAATTTGCTCTGTTGTTGAACCATTTCAGGCTGTATGCTACTACACGTGAAAAAACAGGAGAATTCAATGTATGTTTCATGTCACATAGCTACGAATTATAGCACATCATAGACCAAGTGCAAAAATGGGTCATGTTGCAGCTGCTCGGAAGAGAAGTCACCAATGGTGCGTCTTCCTAACCCCAAAAAACAGTAAAGCAATTCGAAGAATGACAGGTCACTGTTTCCTGCGAACAATTAAGAGAGGCCTTACGAGTTACGAGTTCTCCTACACTAACCCCAAAAATGGCTGCTCGATTGATATTCTTTTGTTTAAATTAAAATTAGCCTGACTAGCCTCCCTTGAGATAAGGAATTCTTTGGAATTTTGCACTTAAGAACAAGGCTAGTAAGGCTAATTTGAATATAAACAAAAGAATATGAAACCAATGTGGCCATTTTTACATTGGGTCTATAAAGCGTCAGGTAATTTCAACATTGTTTCCCGTAATTTCAATGCAGTATATGCGCATTTGTGATAAAGATGGCTAGATATCAGCCAAATTTCCGTTTCTGCGGGAAATCTTTTCTTGAAGAGCAAGGCCTGTAATCGCAGAAGTAGGAGGTAAATTAATCTCATTAACGAATAGTCATTAACGTCGATCATCTCATAGCTTTTTGATTTTGTCTCGCATAAAAAGCGGTGGAATCCCATGTATCTTCATTCTAGTCTGTCTGGTCTGCTGATAGAAGATTGTTAAAAAGAAGTAGTTTCGTGTGTGATAATGCTCCTTAATCGTGACACCAAAGAAAGCCCTCTTTCATTTAATTTCTCTCATCGAGGATCTGGTGATCACGTGTAGGGAAAATCTTGTAATGATGCGTACAAGTTAGAATTCACATGGACTTTAAGGTGACTCGACCCAGTTGTTTTGTGAGGGTAGCATCCTACTTTGAAGCTCTCTGGTATCCCCACCTTTACTTTGATCGTAAGTCTAACTTATAGCATGGATAACATATAGATCAATCTACAAGATAGCATAAAATTTTTTGGCGATCGGAGTAAATGTCAAGTGGTTATAGTGCCACGCCTCTTTGGGGTCTGAGTCGAAATTCTGCCGTTGCCGGCATTTTTTCGTGAAAATCTCTCGGCTACGTATTGTGCGTATTAGTGCCTTGCGTTGAACAGAGTTTCACCAAAATCGCAAAGACCCAATGCGAGAAATTCAGCGGTTTCCAAATTTAGGTCATAATTTATGCGAAAATAATAAGCAAACTTAACACGATTATATCTAATAAACTGTGAGATTTGTCCCTTTATTTTGGGGATCTTTATAAAAGATGGGTCCTTGCAAGTCAGCAAAAAGCTTTAGGGCCTTGTAAATGCGCGCGATTTCGGGCAATGCAAACATATACAAATTATAGTTTTAGCTATTTGTTGACGTTTGTCAGCGTTTAAGAGTCCTTCTCACGAAAAAAGCATTTTCTCAAAAATTCGTGGTTTTTTTCCTTCCAATTTTTTTCAGGGCCACAATTGATTAACTAACTACCCGGATTCTGAATTTCATGATCATTGAAAAACTGTGACATTATCTTTTAGTATATACACACTCAGTGATGTTGGTGATTTAAGCAATCTGATTGGTTCGCTATCTCGGACTATTCAACAATATTCACCTCCTAGCGAGTGGATAATGTGTGAGCTCGGTGTTTTTCCCGTTTTTTTTAGAGAACGATCTTTTAAAAGTCGACAAAATCCTAGGGCTGACTTTTTTTAAGGCAAGAAAAGACTTGGAAGGATTCAATACGGCGTTTTTCAATTTACTGTAGCAGGAGTTTTGTGCTCGATGGATTGTTTACAACTCCCGTGTATTCGCGTAGAAGAAGCCGTTTCGTGAACTCAGCGTTTTCTAAGAAGAAAATTTTGGCTCAAAAATCGAAGTTTATTTATGACAAACAAATTTAAAAGGAAATGTTTGCAGAAATTCTACATTTCAAGTAAACAGGAAAAAGAATGATACAGGAAGACGACCTCTTACCTCGAGCAACCGAGCCGCCATTTTTGTCAGCACTTCATGCGAAGAACGACACAACATGCCCTTTTGGCTATAAACTTGGCGAGTCAACAGAAAACAACACAGCTCTACTTTTTTTCTCAGGTAAGGAAACAGTCACCTGAACAGTTCAAACTTTTAGCGATTCCATTGAAGCCATTACGCTGTTGTTTGCGAAATGAGTAAACTTGTGAATTGCCATGTTTGAAAATTCTGCAAAGATCTATTTTTAAACTTACGCGTGATTTGATCTGTCAATCAAATCCTACTTTTGAATGGTTTCCTTTCTGATTTTGTTGAGATCACTTCGTGTGTATATACTAAAACAATTATTCTTCTCAATCTCGGTGAATAGTGGCTTTGGGAATATTTACCTCGCCGCTTTCGCGGCTCGGTAAATATTTTGCCACTATTCACCTCGATTTCAAAGAATAATTGTTAACTATAAGCCCAAACTTGAGTGAATATTGAAGATTTTTAGCGTTTTGGTTTCTGAGTTTGTGCTTTGGGAATTTTCTATTGTTTCTAGTCTGTCATGATACAGCATTCTTGTTCAGCACGCGATTTTCTCGAAAAAATGTCGGCAACAGCAGAATTTCGACTCAGACCCCAAAGAGGCCTGGCACTATAACCACGTGACATTTACTCCGATCGCCAAAAAGTTTATGCTATAATGTAGATTGATTTATATGTTATCCATGCTAAATTTTAGACTTACGATCAAAGTATATGAGAGCTTTAAAGTAGGATGGTACCCTCACAAAATAACTGGCCATGGGTCGAGTCACCTTAAGAGTGAAAGATGGTCGTCCTTTCAGAGCAACCACTCTCTTGGGTTTACTTGGCTTCACTACCATTCACAGAAGCTATCTCTTCTTCCTGATCTTCTCTGTACGATGAACTATCCGCATTAATCTCTCTCTCGGAGGTTTATTCTCCATTTCGAAAACCTTCTTCCTTTTCTGTCAATAACTTCGACACTTTTTGATTTGAATAAAACGCTATGGACTCCCTAACCATGCTCCGCAAGTCCTTATAAAAACATACTCAGGGCACGAGGTTTGGTTACGGCATTCCGGATTTGAAGGGAAAGTTCAAAATTTACCTTGCTCAGGCTTGTTTACCAGGTGAATTTCGACATACAATTGTCGGTGGGGAATCCGGAACTGAATATCTCCGTACGCAGCCACGCTATCTAAGAAATCGAAATGCTTCGCGTGGGAAGATGATTTAAATATCTTAAGTCGTGTTTTTTAATCCTCACTTTCAGCATCAGAAGTTAGTGAGCCTTTTGTATTTTCAGTGTCGAGTTCTGCTTCATCCAAATCTCTTTTTCTTTTCATCTCTGTCCGTGCCCGTGCCCTGGAAGGTAAGCTTCATAAGAGCAACTAAGCTCTTTTTCCTCGCTTATAGCGTCATCATAAGCTTGTAACAACGGGACCAATAAGTCTTGAAGTAAACCATGTGTCTAATTGACAAGGATCTGCTTATTTGCTTTTCAAAGTACATTTCTTTCTTCTTAGTCTACTAGAGAATCTGTAAATGACATTTATTGCTGCTTATTTTCTCCTGGTAATAAAAGGAAATGTACCTTATAATAAGTAAATTTGTGAGACTTGGACTAATGCACCAATTTGCCGTAGAGTGGCTTACCGTAATATGACTATCTGACACTGCTGAGCGTAACAATCAGCCAATACTTAAATATATATATGCTGTGGTGGTGGTGTCGGTGCTGGGAAAAAATAGAGCTGTATACATGTGGTGGTAGTGGTGGTGGGAGGAAAGTAATAAAGATTTGGTTGTTTCGGTAGAGAGAAAACCATAGAAATATGGTGTTTGGTAGCTGTAGAGGAAAAACTATATAAATTGGGTGGTGGTCGTGGTGCATCAAGTTATGTTAATGAAGATTTTCACCGCATTTTTTCTTGAGATAAAGAAAAAGCTAAAATATATATTGGCGTTAGCGTACCATTCCTCAAATTTTTGAAATTTCTCCAAAAACGCGGTACATCCCTGCTCCTGAGATAGCCCCATCTCGCCCGCTTGGGATAGAACTTACTTCATTTGGGCAGATCTGGGTGCTCTTCATTATAGTAAGGTAGTGAAAGAGGCCGTCCTTTTTCATTAAATTATTTATTCACTTGAATGTTGTGTAGGCAACAACCGTATGAGGATAAATCTAAAGTCAACTGTCGTTTTGCAGCGTTTATTTTAGATTTAATGAACTGGGGCGACTTAAAAATCTTCGCAAAAAGAGAACTCAAACAATAAATTCCTCAATAATTCGCCTTGACTGGTATTTTGATAAAAAGAGAGAAGTCTTAGAATTTCTCCTTCATTTATGACTACGATAAACATTCTAAACAAAAAGAGTTGCCGTTTCATCTGTTTCCCTTTATAATTTTAAATGTTATGGATACATTTGCATGGTTTATGTTAATCAATGAAGAAGCCATGGTTTCTACCCCCCAAACAACTCGTACGCTTCTTTGGTGCTAAGCAGCCTGCCAAGCGTATATGCCTAGCAAGTACTATGGATTCCACGATGTGGGGAGTCGCTTTATAGTGTTTCACGGATGACGTCGAAGTGTTGTTAAATGGAGGTACCTGATAAACGCGTTAAAAACGTCGCAATAAATGAGAAAGTGACCATAATCGTGAGGCGAATGATTAACGCGAGCTTATCAGTGCAATATGTCTGTCCAAAAATTAGAGTTGAAAAGAACACGAGTTTTGTCGGTTCTCTTCTCGTTATTGTTTTACAGTTGTTCCTTTGCTTGTTATTTTGTTCTCTTTTGGTTTTAGTCCTGTTTAATTTTCGCGTTAGTGAAACCAAAGGAATGGTATGATTCTCATAAAAGGTGGA